GGGGGGGGGGGCAGTGATGAGAGTATCAATGTTGAATTTTAGTTAAGCTAACCTTTTTTTTTTGTTGAATAAATTTTTTTTAGTACAAAAAACTTATTCCGCTTTTTTTTTGTATTTAATTAATTTAAATTATTAGATGCTTTAATTATAACACCTTTTTAGCTCAGAATTTAGCACAGTAACATACAGTGCACAACTGTAAACTGCACCTATTAATAGTCGTTAAAACAACTCAAAACATCAACAAACTAAACAACAGTTGAATTGCATATCAGTAAGCAGTTTCATACTTATATAATTTATAATTCTAAACTAGTAAATTTTATTCGTCAACTAACAAACATTTAGTCACAAAATACAACAGTTTAGAGAGCAGCTACTATAGTATCTTGAAAGAATATTGACCAAATAACTTGTTGTACGCATAGGTAAATATTAAAGATTAGAAAATAGTAGTCATTTCTATGTAATAAAATTAATAAATTGAGCTGTGCATACTTTTTTTTTTTTTCCTGCAGTTTTTATAGCAAATATTTCTGCTGTCAGTGTATTGCTATCAGTTTTTTTTTGCTACTATTTCTCTGATAAAATATTGTATCGTTGTAAGCCAGTTAATTTACTTTGCCATTTTTAGTATCAAATGTTAAGTTTGAAGAAAAAAAATGTTTTTTTTATTTTCGAGAAAAAAATTTATTGTTATTTTTTTTATTTATTTATTTATTTCTTTTTTTTTTGCTATTTTTTTCGTAAAAACTAAAAATCTAACAACAACTGCAAATGACTAAATAGCTTATGTTCCAAGCGACTAATATGTAACATTTGGCTCTGAATTAGCATCTGCTCAGGGTTAAACGCAATCAGTTTTTGCTGAGCAGTGAATCTCAAAAATGGCAGATGATAAGCAGACGCTGATTCGAGTTTTTTCGAGACCTGCTTCACAGAAAATCATCCACCATCAACGGCAGCAGTAGCAACGACAGCAGCAGCAGTATCAACAGCACCAGTACCAT